GGCTTCCCCGGGCCCGGCGAGCCCTTCCCGCCGACGCCGGGCGCCGAGGGCTATCAGCCCGCGGACGGCTACGCGGTCCCAGACCCGCGCGCAGGACTCTACCCGGGGCCGCGCGAGGACTATGCGCTGCCCGCCGGGCTGGAGGTGTCGGGGAAGCTGAGAGTCGCGCTCAACAACCACCTGTTGTGGTCCAAGTTCAACCAGCACCAGACGGAGATGATCATCACCAAGCAGGGACGGTGAGTGAGGCGCGCGCCGCAGCCCGGAACTCGGACGCCTGTCTCTCTCTCTCTCTCTGTTTTTCTGTCTAGACGTGGCTCGTGTCTCCGTGTCCCTCACTGTTTGGGTTTAGCCTTTGGGGGGAGGGAGAGGGGCTGGTAGGGAAGTTGTGGGCCTTGTTTATCCCGGGAGATTACACTAACAGGCAGAACCCAGAAGAGGGATGGATGAGGGTGGGTGCAATGAGAGTTACCTTGGCTTAGGGGTTTACCCAGAACTGGTGTGTGCCCTGCTCTTTGCCTGAATCCGGGGCGCAGCAGGCAGAGGGGGTGCAGTGTTGTGGGTTTGACAGGGCAGGACACCTCTTAGCCCCTGTGTTTGGGAAAATGGAGGGGAAGGGCAGAGTCTTGCAATGTAACCAGCACTGACGCAGTCCTCATCTTCCCAGGCCCCTGGTGCCCACTTCACCCAGCCCCTCATCTTCCCAGGCCCCTGGTGCCCACCTCACCCAGCCCCTTTGCTGCTGTTGTTCACAGGTCAGCTTTGGGAAGGGAGGTAAGACTAGGATTTAGTGACACAGAGACACAGTGGTCAAGTTTCCTTTCCGGTAGTTCTTTGAGTTCATGTCATGTGTGTGTGTGTGTGTGTGTGTGTGTGTGTGTGTGTGTGTGTGTTGGGGGGTTGGTAAAGTGTGTGTGGGGCACAGATCTCTTCCAAAAACAGGCTCTTGCCAGAGGGCCCAAATGCCCATGGGCCCAAGCAGGCGAGGCGAAGCCAACCCATGGGTCCCAGCTGGCAGCCAGCCCCATATTCTGTACCCTTTGAGGTCTGTCCCCTGAAAGCCTATGCTACACATTCACTGGTCCAGCCTGCGGAACCCATGGCTTAGGACCCTCGGGGCTCAGCTCATGTGGGGTAGGGTTTGGGGCTGGTAGGGTTTGCTTCCGGAGAGAGCCTCCTGCGTGGGGAAAGAAAGAGAAACTCGCAAGTTGTGTGGTATTTGTTTAGTAAGCAAGACTCTGAGCAGGCCCTGCCGGTGTTTGTCATGGGAGAGTGTGCACCCACCTTTCCCAGGAGGGGCCATGTGGTTGGGACCTGTCTGTGGAGGGGCTGTCATCAGTGGACTTGGGGAGTGTTAAAGAGTGTATACCAAGTATGGAGCTTGGAGAGAAAGACAGCAGAGGCCATACTGGGCCTGGGGGTTGACATTTAGTCTGGGTATTGCTGGAACATTCTCCCCTCCTGATGATTTCTGTGGAGTCACCTGGGATTGAGGGACCTGTACACCAACCACAATCGGCTCAAGTTGCTGAGCTGTTCCTCTTTCCCTGGGATGGGCCCAGGAAAGTTGGCATTTTCTTCAACAGCATGACCTTCATCTCCTGAACCTTCTGATCATTCCTCTCTGCTCCCTGGAAACCTAGCCCTTCTGGGTCCACCCAGGCACAGCCCAAGCTTGTAGTCCCATTGTGTCTGAATTGGAGGGGACCCAGAAGATTTTTTCCAGTCCCCTCCCTCCCTGCACAGATAAGGAAATGGGCCCAGAGACAGTAAGAGACTCTTCTGAGGTTACACAGCACACCCTTCACTGGCAGAACTGCCTGGGTTTCTCCCATGGCCAGGAGTAAAAACAGCCCCTACACTCTCCGTGGGCCTTGATGCATTCAGAGTGCTTTCACTTCCATTATTTCTCTGTGTGCTAGGTAGGTCAAGCAGTCTTCCCATTACATAGCTGGGGGCACTGAGGCGCAGGGATAGTAAGTGGCTTACATTCAGTCACACAGAGGCCTGAACTTGGGCCTCCACCCTGTGGTGTGGTCAGGAAGCCTTCCCACCCTGGGATCTGGGTCTCCCCACAGCCTGCTGTCAGGCCCCGGCCCCTCCAGTTTGAGAGGTGAGGTGGATGGAGCGTCAGCCGGAACTTCAGGGACCTGACGGGTACTGGGCCAGTTGTGGTTTGCCCACAGGCTGTTTAGGGAGGTATCTCAGGGGATGCATCTCTGAATGTGGGTCCCCATCTCTGCCCCTCCAGTCTCCTTCTGTCCTTTAGGTTCCTGCCGAATAATTCTCTCTTGACAAGTTTTGTTGTCTCCTTTCTAGATCCATACACTTACTTTTGTGAATTATGAAAAATTCTAGTAGCTCTGGCCCATACGGCTCAGTGGTTAGAGCGTTGGCCCACACACTGAAGGGTCTTGGTTCGACTCCCAGTCAAGGGCACGTACCTGGGTTGCAGTTTCAATCCCTGGCCCTAATTGGGGCGTGTGTGGCGGAGGCATCCGATCGGTGTGTCTCTCTCACGTTGATGTTTCTCTCTCCCCGTCCCTCCCTCTCTTCCACTCTCTAAAAATCAATGGAAAAAATATCGTAGTGTGGGGATTAACAACAACAAAATTCCAGTATAGTTGACCCTCAAACAATATGCATTTGAACTGAGCATCTTAACTTACACGCCTATTTTTTTCAATAAATACCATAAGTGCATTTATTCATCCTTATGATTTTCTTCTTTTTTTTAAATATAGCTTTATTGATTTCAGAGAGAGGAAGGGAGAGGGAGAGAGAGAGAAACATCAATGGTGAGAGAGAGTCATTGATCGACTGCCTCTTACACGCCCCGGACTGGGGATCGAGCCCGCAACCGGGGCATGTGCCCTGACTGGGAATCGAACCTCCATCTCCTGGATCCTAGGTCGATGCTCAACCGCTGAGCCACGCCAGGCCGGGCCTTATGGTTTTCTTAGTTACATTTTCTTTTCTCTAGCTTACTTTATTATAAGGATACGGTATATACTTATAACATATAAAATATGTGTTACTTGACTCTTTATGTTATCTGTTAAGCTTCGATTACTGGTCAACAGTAGGCTATTAGCAGTTAAGTTTTGGTCGAGTCAAAAGTCATTAAGTGAATTTTCGACTGCATGGGGGTTGGCACCCCTGTCCCCGTGTGGCTCCCGGGTCAGCTGTACATACAAAAGTGGAGAGGAAACTGTAGCGGACGCCCACCTACCCATTCCAGCTGCAGCGGGCAGCGCTGGCCCGGTCGCCCTCCTTCCCCCCGCTCACTTCGCTTCCACCCTCTGGGCTGCAGCTGTATCAGTGAAAGTGTAAAGAATTAGTAAATCCTAGACACAATGTTATTTCATCCTTAAGTATTCCTTTATGTATCTCTAAAAATAACTTTAAAAAAATAAACACAATACCATTAGCAAACCTGAAAAGAAATGCCTAAATATCGTCACATCTCCCAGACTGTTTCACAAGCGTGGGGTGTGCGTGTGCGTGTGCGTGTGTGCGTGTGTGTGTTTTACAATCATCTCTCGCTCTCGACCCGCCCTAAGTGACTGCTTCAGACACGGTGGGCTCCCTTTCGGAAGCGAGCGGTGGCTGCTCCCCATATCCTTTGACTCCCCTCCTTGGACCAGGCCTCAGGGGCCCCATGGTGGGGCGAAAGGGACAGAGGACACGCCACCCCCAATTCAGTCCGACCAGCCCCGAATCACCCCATATCTGAGCTTGGGCTCCAGTGACCTGGGAAGTTGGCAGCCATTTTCTTCTGCTACCTGCTTCTGAAAAGCAAGAGTTGAGCTCAAAGGACAGCTCCCTTTCTGTCCTCTGCCTTGGCAGTCAGGCTTGTCCCTCCGTGGGTTCCAGTGACCTGCCAGTCACCACCACATCACCCACAGCCTTCTTCCTTTTTGAAAAATCCTTCCAGCCCGGGCCCACCCACAGCCCTGCAGCCTTTTGCGTTGAGCTGACTCACTTGCTCCCAGATCCTTCCTCTCCCTCCCACCTCAGTCCCACCCCTCGGGCTGGACCAGCCGCACAGTCATGCTCTCCTCGACGGGTGGGAGCGGGGTGGGGGCAAGCAGTGGGTGACTCCAGGTCCAGAGACTGAGCCAGGCAGCTCAGGTGGAGCTGGGACGGGGAAGCTGAGGACAAACGGATGGACTGGCTAACTGGAGGCTTGGTGTTCAAGTCTGTGTGTTTGTAGAGACTTGGGGTGCCTGATGGCGCCCACCCCAAGCCTGTGCTACGTTTCTGTGCTGCACTGTATTTGTGCTATGGATGTGCTGGTGAGCCTGTAATAGTTGACGGTAGACATTCTCAGTAGAGGAAGAGAGAGGCTGGTGTCTGGGTGTGTGGGTGTACATTTATTGCCGGCAATCCCCACTTTTCTGGGTGTGATTAGCTGATTATTATAATTAAAATAACGTTGGGTAGGTCTGTTGTTAAGTAGCTCAGCTTGCATTGTGTGTGTTTGTGTGAAGTTACGGGCTGATGAAACAATCTCTGTCCCACACAATCCTCCGTCGCTGGCCTCACAGCCATTGAGGTTTCCCCTTCTCTACATTCCCAATTCCAAGAATTTGACAAATTGTTCAAAAATATTTTCAGCTTTAAGGTTGCTTTAATTTCGGCTGACTGGCTTTATTTCTCGTAGGGCAGGTGAAAACAGCTTTGCTTTCTGTTTGGTCGTTTGCTTACGGCCATTTGGTTTTTATTAAGTAGGCCTGAGGCTGGCGGGAGGAGGAGACCCCTCGGTGGGGAGTGCATTTTGCATTTTGATAGGTAAGAGGCATGGCCCAAGAACCCTCCTAAAAGGTGGTACCAGTTTACATCCCCATCTATAGTGTGTGAGAAGACCCATTTTCCCACAGGCCCATCAGCATTATATAGATATTACCAGTTTTGAAACATTTTGCCAACATGACTGACAAAAACTGTCTCCTTTTAATTTGTACTTAATGGTGGTGAACTGGAGCGTGTCAGAGGTGTTCGGGATTGGGGAGGGATACGATGTTGCTGCAGATATCTCAAGGCAGGATGGTCTTTAGGGGCAGTAGAGGAATTTGAGATCTTGAAACTTGTCCCCCGAGAGCAGAATGGTCAGTGGACTTTTGGGGGGCCTCAGTTTGGCACCAGACCCATTGTTACTCCCTGTTCCTTCCCAGCAAAGTGTCATGTAAATCAGGGGCTATTTTAGGATTCCAGCTGGTGATGATTCTAGACTTTTAGGGTGAAATTGAGACCTCCCTTCCCCTCTCCCCTTTGCCCGTCTCTTCCTGTGTGCCTTCCATTTCCCTCTACCAGCGCTAAGCGAGATGGAGGGACAGAGACCACAGTCTGTGCTCTGCAGTCAGGAGACTCCGGCTCTGCTCTCCCACCAAGGAGCCATCACCAAACCTCTTCAGGCTCCTTTTCTTCAAGGATAAAATTGAGCCCGGCCGAGTGTGGCTCAGCGGTTGAGCATCAACCTAGGATCCAGGAGATCGGGGTTCCATTCCCCGTCAGGGCACATGCCCAGGTTGTGGGCTAGACAGCCGATCAAGGACTCTCTCATCATTGATGTTTCTCTCTCTCTCCCTCTCCTTTCCTCTCTCTGAAATCAATAAAGATATGTTAAAAAAAAAAAAGGTATAAAATTGAAAATAACATTTTATGTCTCAAAGGGCTGGTTCAATGAACTGGCTGCTGCATAAGTAGAGGCTCAATGAATATGTTCCCTTCTCTCCCTTAATTCCTACAAGTTTGGATAGGAACCAGTGACCATATAGGAAACGTGTGAGTGGCCTGACCACTGTCGTAGAATGAGTTGATGGTAAGAATGGGTTGAAAATATTCTCCCACCCTCGATTGCTCAAGGCCTCTTCCTAACCTTTGATTTCTCAGATTGACTGGCCTGCTGAGCCCCTGGGACCCAGGGCCTGAAACTGGAACTTTGGACTCTTGCTCAGGGTCCTTGGGCTTGGCCAGAGGGCTTTGACAGCTCTGGGCCTGGAAGAAAGTGGGATGGGGGTGGCATGGGAGAGAAGGTGAGCTGAGTTTCACATCTTTTGAACTTCTTAACAGCTGTCAGAGAAAAGATGGACGGGAGTTATTATCTCCATTTACGGGTGAAGAAACTGAGATTTGGCTTGACAATTAACTTATCCAAGGTCATAGGGCCGGTAAGTCTCTTGATCTCAGCGCAGGAGAGTCTGAGGAAGGCAGGAATGTGGTAATGCCCTCCGATGAGACCTCCCCAAGATTACTAAGGGCGTTTTGCTGGGACCCTCTGGCACTAGGATCTACCCCATGGTGTTCCTAGGGCCCTGGAACTCTCTTTCCCCCAGGTTTCCTGACTCGCGGACTAGTGCCTTTCTTCCCCTCTTATGGAACTTCTCTTAAGAGGAGGGAAAAAGTGTGTGGGAATGAAAAATAATTTTGATGAGGGTAACTCTGACATCCTGAAAACTCTGCTCTTCCAGCCTGTGTTAGAAAGGGTGAGCCACTGGAAATTATGGTGGCTGGTGCTGGTAAAGGTGGTGGTTGTCTTGATGGTGGTGATGGTGGAAGGGGTAATCGTAGTGATGATGATAGTGGAAGCTGATGGTTGTGGTAATGGCTGAGGTGCGGTTGTAGTGATGGTGGTGATGGGGATAGTGATGGTGAAGGTGATGGAGATGGTGGTGGTAGGGGAGTGCTTCTTTTTCTGAATTTATTACTCTGGCACAATAATGCAGACTTCCAACACCAACATCCTCCACTTTCCCTGGGAACTAGGACTTCAACTATGAGGACTGTGTTTGATAGAGCCCTATTTCAGGTAGGTGGAAAGCTCCACCTAGGACTTTAGCTACTTCTCTGAAGGCCCAGGCCTAGGGCAGGCAATACCACAGACATCAGGCCAAGAAGGATGGGGCAGGGAGAGCCTGTGGATGGGTGCCATGAGGCTAGGAGTGTGTTAGCACCGTGAGAGCCGCAGTGGAGAGGGTGGATATCAGACTGAGGCCAGACCAGGGCTCGGGGGACTGTGGCTTGAGGACCTAGTAGGAATTGCCTGTGGGGGACTGGCTTGAGGCTTTGGTCCCCTAGGAAGCAAACTAAGGTTACAGACAGTGGTGTGCAGCTAATGTCTAGCAACTAACCCTCTGAAAGAAAAACGTTTATTTATTTATTTAAATCCTCACCTGAGGATATTTTTTCCCACTGCTTTTAGAGAGAGTGGATGAGAGAGAGAGAGAGAGAGAGAGAGAGAGAGACAGAGAGAGAGAAACATCAATATGAGAGAGACATATCAATTGGTTGCCTCCCCTGCACACCCAGACCAGGGCCTGGGATTGAGCCTACAACCAAGATACGTGCCCTTGTCCAGGATCAAACCCGGGACTCTTCAGTCCATAGGCCGATGCTTTAACCACTGAGCCAAACTGGCTAGAGCTGAAAGGGAAATATTTTTAGAAGCCCTGATTCATAGTGATTGCTGATTTCCAAGATATAAATACTCTTATGGTGGTTGATTTCAAGCTACCCATGTGATATTACTAAATGTGGAGTTGGGAAGAGTCGTGGAGTGATGCATATTATCTAGATTTCCACATACAGGTACAATAGACATAAATAACCTCAGCAGCAGAGATAATAGGAAAATGTAGTAAAATATTTGGGAAGTGATGATTTTTGAATATGTATTACCTTGGTTTATAATGTAGCTCAAAAGTAAGTTTACAGTTGTTTGTATGGAAAATAATACAATAATTAATAAACAATAATACAAGAATAAACTCTGTTTCTCATACTTACAACTGTAAACCTACTTTTGCCCCACCCTGTGTTTCATTGTGAATTTATATAACTTACTTTTTATTTATTTATTTTTTAAAGAATTTTTTTATTGCCCGACTGGGTGTGGCTTAGCGGTTGAGCATCGACCTAGGATCCAGGCGATCGGGGTTCAATTCCTGGTCAGGGCACATGCCTGGATTCCGGGCTCGATCAATGACTCTCTCATCATTGATGTTTCTGTCTCTCTCTCCCCCTCTCCTGTTCTCTCTCTGAAATCAATAAAAATATATTTTTTTAAAAA